CCTGAAAGTAAGAACTATTAAGCAGTGGAACAGCTTGCCTCCCAGAGTTGTGGGTGCTCCATCGCTGGAGGTTTTCAAGAAAAGATTGGATGACCATTTGTCCGAGATTGTATGAGGGCTCATGCCTTGGGCAGCGGGTTGGACTAGAAGACTTCCAAGGTCCCTTCCAACCCTATGATTCTATGATTCCATTAATAGAAGGCAAACATTAAATTTATCGTAAATATTACACATAGAGAAAACTGGTATAAGATTTTTTTTTCACTGGCATATTATTCCAGGGTTGATTGCCAAAATGGATTAATTTTTAATAAAAAATCTGCTAGAAATAGAATAATCAGGGTGGACTGTTCTTCCTTATCTGGTGACAATGTCATAAAGCTCAGCAAATTTTGAAGATGATGAAACAAATTTCAAATACTGACTTTCCTTTTCTACTTGTTTTTCTGTTATATAACTAAGCCTTGTATTCCTATAAAGTTTGCTGAGTTGGCTTTATATATGATAGCCTCTGCTGAGATATTCAGTGGAAGTTAGATTCAATTCCTTCATTAGAGGACTAGCAGATTAAACTTTGGGAGTATGCATCAATGTCAAAAATAACCGCATATCTAAAAACTAAGTCTGACACTGTAATTTAACTTGGAAACTGTTTATGGACTATAATTCTGAGCATGGTCTTCTGCCACACTTGACATTTGGATTTCTTTCAACAAAGTTTTGAAACCTAGTTTCTGTCTAGTAAATTTAAAACCATAAAGTTAAGGATGGGCTGTTTCAGATTAGTTAGAAATTCTTGGTAATTCTTATTATTTTGGCGGTTTTTATCTGACTCTTAGTTCTTAAAATGCTAAACTGTTGTGTGATTATCTTTATATCTGTTTCAATCTAAAGTGACTTGTAAAAATAACAGTGGAATGTTTTTCCTTTTCTTTTTAATATTTTGTAAACGCCTACATACTTTTTTTCATAAATCTTTAATACAGTCTTTTCCCCTCCTTCCTTCTAACTCTTTTTTTTTTCTGGTCTCATTCTTTAAGTATTTTTAAAAATAAATTTAAAAGAAAAGAAAAGAAAAAGCTATGTCCCTCCCTTTCCCGAATTAGCACATACCAAGAGTGTGAATCATACTTAGCTTCTGATCTATATTCTAAGGGCCACATTCAGTCAACACAAGAACAGGGACAAACAAAATTATATTTAATGTAATTAATTCAAAATAAAATTAAAACATATGTTTACTCCCCATGTATTTATTAAGTACCCATTTCTGTCACACTGTATTACAATCTGGTAGCAATTTTTAGAGAGTTGTTGGGGTTGCATACAAAGCTTTGGGGAGCTGCAAACGGCTCTGGGACCTCAAGCTTGAATTCTTTCCCATTGTACTACAAATGTGTGGGCACATGCTAAGAGGGCACCCCCTGTTTGAACGCCCAGATAACTATGCCAAAGATTCATCACATACTTAAATGACCCCTTGTCATCTTGGAGCCCACTGCTCCAAAAGCTGAGTAACACAAGTGCAAATTCATCTGCTATGTTTTCTCTTGCTACTTGAACAGGATGAACGAATAATGCTAGTATCTATGAGCTTAAATCTTTTTACTGACACTTGGAATCTGAGACACTTCAAAGACCTGCTTCTATGGTATTCGTTTTTAGCTGTAATCTTTATTTACCTGTAATGTGCAACCAAACACACCAACCATCAACATGGCAACAGAAAGATAATCTGTAAATACATCCCACCATGGCTTCAAAACACGGAAGGCTGGCTGCTGTTCAGAGAACTGGCGGAATTCAGTGACAGGAATCATTGTTCTGAAAAACAGCAAAAGGGGGAATGTGTGAAATGGTTAGGGTTTTTTAATATGAAAAAATATGCATTACTGTTTTATTCTATTTCATTATTTAGTCCTAGCAAATTCCTAGCAAATGATACATATAGTCTAGACAACATTCTTCAAAACCTGGCACCTTCCAGATGTGTGGATTTCAATTCCCGAAATTCTCAGCAGTGGCCATGTTGGTTGGGGAATTCTGTACATTGAAGAGTATGCATGAAGAGAGCACCCAGGATAGGAAACAATGCTCTAGTCATGAAGTTTGAAGAACCATGGTAGTATTGTTTCCCAAGTTTCTTACTGATCACATGATCTCCTACAGGAATGGTTGATTGCTCAAAGCCTCTTAAGGAGTTCATCAGATGCTCCCTCAATCCTGGATGTTCTTTCTATGACAAGCTATCACTAACCAGAACATCAATAATCCAGTCTGTCTGACTAGCCTGCCATCAGCTTCTTCTATTCCTTACTTAACTTTTATAAATTCTAAATCTGTTTTCACTCCCCAGACCTGCCTGAATTACCTCATTTCAGAATCAAGTGCTAGCCTAACTGGGAAGACTTCTATTGGCCATTTTGGTTGCAAGCCAAAAGCAGAAGCAATAAATGCTAGATAAGGTTCTGCAACAGGGGCAGCAATTTTTTATGCCAGTTCTTTTCTGCCAATGAGTGAATAGCAATTTAAATCAGCAATGGGGAAAGCCCCAGACTATTCTTGCCCAGTGATGACAGCTATACAGGAAGAAGACAAATCAGGAACATAAGGGACAGTTGGTTAAGATAGAGAGGAAGGGAGATTAAAAGAGAGCTTCGGAAATATGACTGATGACTGAGAAAGGGCAAAGAGAAAGGAGCCAAGAGAATAAAAGCTTTGGATCAACTCTCTCTCTCTAACCATTAAACCACAGTTTGAATAAACCACAGCTGTCTGTGCTCAAACAGAAAACTAAGTTTTAAATTGTGTTTTTCAAACCACAATGGCTGCATTCACTCAAAATGCTAAGCCAGCTAGGCTAACCATATTACAGGTTAGACACAGTCAACGTATGCACATTCAAGAGAAAGGAGTTGAATGAAAGAATTGTGAATTTCTTAGTCTCCAATCGCTCCCCAAAAAGTAATTCTTAGACCTCAATCCAAGAAACACACGTAGTGGTTTATTCTCATCAAGAAACAAACAACCATATCATTTCTTCCAGCTTTGCTTTCAACCTTCCTATATTCATCCTCAGCTGTTATTTTTAAAATCTACCAGTCTAAAACCTTTGGTATGGATCAAGTTAAACCGCATATAAATTTGCCCATTTGTAAATTTCACCGTGTTTTCTGACAGAATCAGCTATATAGAAAAAAGGCAGGTTTCTTTTATGGTACAAATGTTGCATTTTTCCCAATTAGCTTGAATCTTCATGATTTTTTTTCCAGGATGACATTACACTCAACTCCCCAACTGAGTAAACAGAACCAGAAACATATTTAGTGTTTGTTAATTAAAGGTCTGGTAATGGGCTTAAATCAGGATAGACCACTCAAATGGATGTGAATAATGAGGTACACGCGCATATCTGTCTTTATTCTAAAACAGTCTCATCTTTGAATTCTATTTTTTTTCTAATTGTCCTTCATCACATAAATAAAGAAAAGCTGTAAGATCACCAAAGATGTAGTAAAGACAGTATTCATTGAATAATGAATGTCTATGTTGGATTTCAGAAGATCCAGATGGCCTGTGTACCAGGATATAGTGGAAGTTAATTCATTTATCTACTGCGTGCTAGCAACTCATAGGAATTATTCTTGGGTGAGGCTTTGAGATTAAAACAGGTTCAGTTGCAGTCACAAAGCTGATCAGAAAGAAGACAGAATAAGAGAAAAGGCTCTTGTATCAAAATAAAATTCTAGGAATGGAACTAAACTCAAGTAGAGCTGATGTATCCTCTGTTTGCTTCAAGCTAAACTGCATTATTAACTGTTCCTATATATGTATTTCCTTTTTGTTACCACAGTACTGTTACAGAACTCTTTCAGATGAGTCCAAGCTGTCAGACTTTATACCTAGGTTCAGCAGTAAACCTCAGGTCTCCAGACACTAAATCCTTAATTTAGCTTTCAGCTAGGCTTGGCAGAAGACTCCCAGATACAACTTAGCTAGACTAGTCTCTTTACTGCAGACAAGAATGAAACAGCAACCACAACAGATGAATATTTACTGCAATGCAAAGAAGCCAGAAGTTTATCTATATTCCAGGTTTAAACTCTAGGCTTCTTTTTCCACCTTTCTAAAATGAGAGGGTGCTTGATGGCCTGGGAAGATGGATGAGATATTAAAGCCAATCTCTAGCCTATGAACCACTGGTTCCTGCCTTCATAACCTCAGCTCTTACACATAGTCATTACACTATATTATACCGTTTTGGATGGACTGGCACAAAAATGGATTTGAGTTTCTGTTGGGTTGCCCATAGTACCACTGCTGTCCTGATTTACATGCCTTCTATCCAATAAGTGAGATACGCTGGGATCTTGACAGGTCAAAAGTTGACCAAACCATGGTTAGCTGTTTGTTCCCTTACTTTGAAGCTCCCATTCTCATTACGTCTGATCTTGTGTAGGTGTTGAAATTGGCACAATCCCCCTTTTCTCCTTTCCCCAAGATAATCAATTTTTCATTAGATCAAAGTCCTGAAATACTACATCAAGATCTTCATTTGGAAAGGATTTTGAAGTGGGTTACTTTGCAACCACACCTAATAATCCATGTAGCTATTGTACAGCTACTCAAAAGGTATACTCTGAAAATGGTGTTCTGCTCATTAGATATTTGAAAATATGATGAGCAAAAATATATGAACACAGTGCCCATGAACAAAATCCCTGGGAAGTAGCAGGATGAAAATTATTGACAAAGACAGGTACAAGCATGGAGAATACCTGTTTGATGCGTGGTAGGAACCACCTCCTCCAATTTGTCATAGAAAGATTGTACTGAAGACTTGGGAAGTACTGTGGAACTTATGTGTGTTGGACCCCACGATGTCATTTTTTCAGGAAAATGTAAATTTTGCACAGCACAAAAAATCATAGCACAGGGACACAATACAAACTGTTGGCCACATCATGAGGACTCTGTCAAATTTGTGTACCCAGAGCATAGTGGCGCCACCATATATCATTTGTACAGAAAGACTTATAAATGCAAGCTTCCCTGAATGATCTGCAAAGCCATTACTTCTTATGGATCTGGCTTAATGCCTGAACTGATTTCAGAAAGGCCATCTGGGAACAGTTGCTAATTTGAGGAAGTGGAAATTTTTGAATCAACACAAAGTTTTGAGCTGATATAATACTGGGGGGCATAATTAAAACCACAAATGAAGTAGTGAGTTCTTTGGGATTTTGACTCTAAGACTTTAGGCAGCAGGTAGGGAGATTACATTACAAAATGTTCCTTCAGACCAAAAAAAACCAGAATGTGAAGGAAAAGGTTAGAGTCTTTTTATTATCCATTTTTTCTGTCTACTGTGTGTGAATGCATGATAGTTCTGCATATAAGCAATCTGAAATAGTGTGGTCCAGTAATAGAAATGCCACATGATTCATTGTTTCAACAGATTGGTTGATTATTCTGTGCTTTTGAAAGCTAACTGTTAAATGACAGCCAATTACTTTAAAGTGAAATGTAGCAATGTTGATAAAGCATTTATTCCTTTTGGTTTACACTAGGGCACACTCCAGCAAAAATAAAATGCAACTGGAATTTCTGGTCTTCCTATTTGTATTAAAGCTGGTATTGGAAGGCATTTGTGGTGGTTTGCTGCCCAACCATTCTTCATTGCTATCCCACCTCTTAGGTCGGTCTGCCTTTCCTAACCAAATACTCTCCAACTGTTTTAGTATTACAGCTACAATTAGTCTTATTTTTGAACAGATACATTTATAATCACATTGATAGCTCACACAAAGGTGATTTCCACACTAAGGATTTATAGCATCTCCTACAGTTGTCCAACTATTGCGCCAACGTAACAACAATGAAGCCAGGCTTTATATCACTTCAGTAATGGTTGGGTGGTGCTGTGAAGCCACTATAAATCACCAGTACAGAAATTAGCTAAGTTTCTTAGAAACTTGTACAATTGGTTATTAAAAGGCAAATAACTAGATTACAGCTTGAAGTAAACATCTTTGTTGCTTCTTGTGATGTAGATTTATTTCCTGCCCAGGACTCCTTTTTTCATCTTTAGGTTTGTTTTGTAAGACAAGGAAGGATCACTTACTGTAATAAGCAAGAAAAGTGTTCACTAAATACAGATCCTTCTTTGTCTCAGCATCTGGTTTATTTTTCAGAAGATACATATCAAACCAAATGCTTGGATTTCTTTCAGGACTCCCTACCAAATCAGTTACAAATGCTATACAGTACTAAGGCTAAGGCTACAGTACTAATACCACATGGCTAAGTCCATAATGAACCAGTCAATGCAATATTATTATGTCACAATACTCCTCTATTTTTTTATTAATACAAAACAAACTCAGTTTACAGTCCTATACATAATGTGCACGTTGATTTATAATTCACAGTGTCAACTGGAAAAGTCACCAAGAGCAGCACTCAGAATGGCTTCCTGTATTAATCTTAAAAAGCATTTATCTTAATTATGGAATCAGAGAGCCTTGTTTTAAAAATTTATGGAACTGACCTACTGTACAGTAAAACTTATGTGTGATAGCCAAGGATTCCAATGTTTCAAGTGAATTTAAATTGGTGATAACCAAGTGGTAGTACCAATAGCTAAAGACCTGACATATACCTCTAAATCAGGGATGAGAATTGTAACCTTGTAAATGTTATTTGTCACTGGCAGTGTTCACACAACACACTTAACCAGGCAGATAAAATTTAGATGTTGCATTTATACAACATGCTAAGCTTAGTTAGTTTTGACAGGCTGTTTTATGGATTAGCATTTCATG